ACCAACACAAAGTGCTCACCGGAACACATCCAGTGTCACATCCGCCCTAGGCCCTAAACTTGTTAACTTTATCGCACACAATCCGAGCTGGCCTGGATCTGCCGATGATTTCTGTCATAATAGCTGCAATTGCCCATCGCACACAATGCGCGCGCCGCACAGTGCGTTGTCCAAGGTTTGAGAGCAAAGCTGATCATGTAAACCATCGCGAATCGCAGTGGCTCTCATCTATAAGTGCTGCTATTTTTTGGCATGCGAATGAGAATGAAGAATAATTAGTATACCATTGACTGGGATTCTGTCCAAAACTCAGCTCTCAGCTCTGCAGGCTGTATCATGCTGTATCTATTTTGCCCAAGCACCGTGTATCCATCGGTCCAAACAAAAGCACCGCTCCTGCACTCGATCCGCCGCCCGTCGCTCGGCGTTGCAGCGCTGCTCCTCATACCTGGAACGCTCGGTGAAGCGGACCCGAAGAAACCGCGAAGCGGTGGGGAGAAGCACTCGATGATCACCCGGTAGGCCACCTCGAAGAGCATCTCTGGATGCACCTGCATCTGAGATTGTGGATTGGGCAATGCTTGTTGATGCTTCAAAATGAGTCTGGAGTCTAGAGGCTAATAGCGCCTTCTGCTGACACGTGGGGCAAACTAAACTCCTCAGCAGAACCGCTGGCGCAGTGCGGGAGACGCTCTGCGCCCGGTGGATGTATTCCTGAGAGGTCACTGTTCCAGCATTCAGCTGGCTGCTGCACTGCAACTTGAACAAATACACTCCATCAAACGTCATGAAATAGGTTTCTAACAAATGCCTAGCATGGACATTCGCTGAAAGAATCTCATGGTGCCCCCGTTCTTCCAAGTGTCGGGGACCTGCAGCATGGTGTTCACCTTGGCGCAACAAGGATGTTTATTCGATGCCTTGGGGCCTTGAGCAACACTTCCGCCTTGAGCAAGCAAAAACATCGATAATGCACATCCATGCACTATGATCCCTTCTTCGACTGATGGATCAATGCAAACGCATTGAGTACGAGCCTCCAATGGCTGGCTGCAGCCCAGCAATCTCACCGAGGATGCAAAGAGAAAATGCAATCGATCCTAAGCTCTGGCCGCTTCGATGACAAATCACAACTGCTCATGATGCAGGACTGACAGCATCTTCTGCTTCTTGTACAGCACACTTGAAATGCGTCAACTTGGAGTTGCAGGAAAGTTGAAGTTGATTGGGAGCGTTGACCTTTCATGCAAGCATGGTCACGCAATTGTTGCTTCAGTTTGTGGCAGCGTCTTTGTTGCCTCATCCCCGGCAACCTGCCCTAAAATGCCGCGGCACTTTGTGGTCCACTTTGAAGTTCAGGGCCAGGCGAGTGATCTTGACACCTACGCGGCGTTGTCTTGTGCCATACGAAAGCAAAAAATGTACAAACGATGCGGGCCAAAGAACGGTCATTGGTCACGCCAGCAACATGCTGGATGATTGCATCCTCGGCTCTGCCACGAGTAGCTGTGCCAAGCCACGATAGGAAACAAAACACGGACGATAGGAAACCTCCCTGTCTTTGCATGCCAGGTAGCAGCAATGTGATCGACTTTATTGGCTAGAGTGGCTCCCCTCACTGGGGTCACCTGGCCAAGATCTCGTGGAGCAAAGGGATTGACCCTGAACCAGCTCACATCTCGGAGGCATGGCCTGGGACTAGTGACTATGAGCTAAGACTGAGAGCTCTAAGATTATAACCTCAGGTTGCCACAAGACTCAAGATGCTCGGACTGACCAGGACAGGACTTGCTCTTGAAGTAGGTCATACTCATTACTCATACCTAATTATCCAAAATTCGGGGATTCTGCCAGCATATGATGGTAGAGACGGGAAGCGACACTCAGATGTGATGTGGTCTCCACCCCTCCCAAATGAGCCTCCGAATGAAAGTCTGGACCCTCAAAGGTCACTGCCCGCTCATACATATCATAGTGCGTATCATTCAAATTCAAACCTCAGCTTGAAAGCTTGATTCAATCCTCAAAGCCTACACACAATAATTGTTGATATGTTTCTTTTTTCAAGAGCACTAAACACAGGACAAAATTGTTTTTGTTTGGTATACTGGTGCTCTTGTCTGCCTATTATATAGCACTTGATGAAATTGGATAATGTTATATTTTTCAAGGGCCGCAGAAGTCTTGAACAACAATGCCAAAAGGTAACTTTTATACTCCCCTACATTCCTGAGACCAATCGTAAGGGAGAAGCTTCTGCTCATCACAGCATTCACTCCACAGTTTCCTCATGTTATTACTAATATTGCTACGCACAACACCGCACAACTACTCTAACTGTACTTTTTGAAGGAGGCTCTGTCTCGTATTGATCACTTTAGTAGCATCTCATATATACGGATATTTACATGACCTCATGTCATTTTGCTCTTACGATGTATATAGCTGAAAGTGAAATTTGATGGACGATATGGACGCCTCCAGAAAGGTATCTCAGTTCTTTTGTGGTGGGTGATATGGCAAAGATCTGATCTTGAACAAACAAACCAGGGCTGCTGGGCAACCTCACCTTTTCTTTTGATTATTCTTATAATATATATATATATATTGCATTATATTGCCATATAGGCCATTGCTACTAGGTTGGAGGCCATCACTGGTTGGAGGCCATCGCTGTTCGAAAAAAGAATGAGTACAAATAAGGAATTTCATGGAATTAGTCAATGAAATTCTGCTCGTCTTATGCTGTACGATACCGAGTGCTGCCAAGTCTCGATTGATCCGTCGCTCAATGAGGCACACCTTTGGCGACCACTGTGCTCGGATCATGTTGTTGCCTGGCTAAATAGACATGGGCGCCATGAATTTGCTGAAAAGTGTCACAATCAAAACATACATGTTCAAAGCTGCCACGAGCTGCCTCTCACTAACTGGCTTTGTTGGACGAGATTACGGAAGCGCAAACTGTTCTGGCGAGAGTTGTTTTAAAATTGTTGCAAGGAGACATAAAATCAAACAAGGGTTGGAATCAACATGTTGTCTACATCTCAGCATGCTGATATAAATGCTGCCAGTGTGGCGTCCATCTGGAGGCTCAAGAAACTTCTGCAAGAGGCCATCTCCTCTATTCATCTGCCTGCCAGCGACATCTGAATTCCACATATCCCAACCAAGCATCACTGAGTGGAGCGAGTCTGCAATTTCACCACACTACATCAGCGCGACTGCAATTTTGCCTGTTGAGCAAGAGCTCTCGAAGCTGCTCTTCATTGAGGTACTCAATGGTCGTCGGAGCTAATCCACTTTCCGTGAGGCCTCAGAGGCCGAGAAGGAGTTGCTGAGGACCTCTCGACCACCAAGACCGGCCAAGACGAGACTTCCCAGCCTCTCGGAGCATCTTCCACGTCTACAGCCGTCTGCACCTTGGCTGTTGCGATCTTTGGAGTTGCTCCATGTCGTTGTTATTTTTGTGCCACATAGTCACATCGTGCAACAACATGTGGGGCCATGTAACAATTAAGCAGCTCACCCGACCACCCATCTCGGCTTTTAGCAAACCTGACTTTAACTGTGGCTGAGGTTGCCGCATAGTAGGCGACAATGCCGCAAGCCAACGGTCGCTTCAAAAACTCTCTGAGGATGCACCTTAGATCCGAATAGACTCAAATAGATAACATATCAGATAACATCAACCTTTGCCGTCCAACCTCGCAGGAAATCAAGCTACGACATAGAAGAACAACCCACTGCAAATCGGCGTTCCTACGCTGGAAAATTATGGAAAACTGAGGGCAGTTTGAAGTATGACACTACCATTGCCAAAGCATGCTTTGTGAAGGGCTAACAGTGCCCGTAAAATCTTGCAAGGCCACAAAACATGAGCAAAGGCACTCTGCATCCAACTTGGCCTTGTGCTTCCGCTTTATGGTCCCATCAACTGATGTAAAGTACCAAACTGACCTTTGGCACAAACTTTGAGATGCAGCTCTGCTTAGTAGTCAGAAACGCCAGTTTTGATCAGTTTTGTATAGTTTTGTTGGACTAGTGATTAGTGGCACACCATGTCAAAGCCAAGCGCTGCACGGGCAGTTGTACTTGAAGACAATGGTGTCGGGAATGCCTGCCCAGTACCAGACGTTGCGGGCTCAATGCCAAGAGTGCAGGCTCACGCAACTGTGAAAATGAATCAGGAGCACGAGCGCCGCGAGCGACAAGCCAAGCTGCGCAAAGTTATGGACTGCTGACTAAGCAAATCCTTCTTCCATATCAGCTCGAACCTTGAGAGCATGTTGGATGCTGACAGGTGTGCCTTCCCCAACACAGCCGCTTCTTCACGGTTCGTCGAGTTCACGTTCTACCCATGTGCCGATGTCTGGTCAAACTCCATATGTGGAACACCCGGCTGACCAACAGAAAAGTAAATGACACATCAAACTGTACGTATATTAAACCGGGGGCTCCCAAAGGGCCCCCTGTAAAAACGAAAAAACAACCACAACACACCTCACATCCATGGGGTTACTGAGGTTCTGATCTCCCTCTTTTATGTCGCACCACATGGAGGACTCGGAGGTTCAAGAAACAGCCACCATGGACTCGATGGACGTCTTGCCATCAAGATACAGCTGTCGGTTTACACCATCCCCTTGAAGGCGCTGTGCTACTTCCACCTCTGGCGCCATGGCTGAGCCAAAAGGGCCGCGGAGGGCTGTGCTTTGGCTGTGGTTTTCACAACGGGTGGCCGGGTGGACCTTGGAAATCCACTTCCAACAAAATGGTGCGCCTTACTGGAGGAATTATACAAGCATATGATTTGCACATGATATGCTGCATATCATCACAGTATGACAGAAGCGGTTTTAAAGCGGGAGTGAGTGAATCAAGAGTCTCTCGAAAGCAAGCAGCTTGCGCTTGGATCCTTCGGAATCCTGCGTAAGTCATTCCCTCATATTCTCAAAGCTACAAAATCCCACAAGCAACCGACTGCAGCATGGACAGTCTTGTCGGTATCCAGCCATCGCCAGCCGGACACGCAGCGTCCAGCCTCAAGCACCCAACCGCGGACACGATCACAGTAGGTGTGCCATGAGCACCGCAACCCTAAGCAACTCAGCAATTTGGTGTCAACAAGCGTCAGCAATTGTAGGGCAGGAGAAAGACAATTACAATTGCACCGGATGGGGACATACTTCTGACCGCTCATGGAACTGACCGCGTTTGACGTGTGTTTGACGTTTCGCCTGCAAAACGTTGCGGCGGAGCTGTCTCAAATACCTGCTCAAGGTGTGGGGATCAAGCGGACACACGTGGCCAAGCATTCTGGAATGTTCTGCTTTCTGATCCTTGAAGAGTTTGTGGTGTGATCCTTCAAGACATGTAATGTTGCTCACAATCTGATTGCTAGACCTTGCACACTCAAGCCTGGCAGATGTAGCGCCTCCACAGCGCAGTTGATGATCGGTGGCCCTAGGCATATTGCCCCGGACTGCCTGGAGACGTTCCAATGCCCTTGGCAGCTGGCGAGCCAGGGCACTGGCACGTAGTGGCCTTCAGGTCAGGGATGCTTCATGTTTTGTAGCAATTCCAACTTGCCAACTAAGCAAAATCATACCGGAAGACTACGCTTTGACATGATGGCACATGAAGTCTGCACCTTCCGTTTCCAAAGCCAGGGTAAGCCATCTCATGGATCTATGATGGTCTATGGCATGGGTGATGACATTTCTGAGGCAAGGACGTCTCCCAAAAGCTGGAGGCATCCAAGTACTTGGGAAGCTCTAAGCCCAGCTCTTCAGCGCCAGCCTCCACCTACCGCAGCACGAAAAAACGAAGCATCCAGTGACTTGCATGCAACATCCAAGACATCGTCTCGCAGGCCGCACCTCACGGTGCAAGGTCTGCAAATCCTCGTTAAAGGCTAGCAGTAGCCACCCGTCCGTCCCCACATGTTCGCACTCCGGGGGAGTGGTGTGCGAGGTCTTCCCAACACCTGCAACGAAAGTCTGTGTCCAAACCAGTGGTCGCGAATGGTCGCGACACTCCACTTGCAAGCTGCAGTTGCTGCACTACACTGCCGCCGTGAGCTTAGAACTTGCCACATATAATATCATATAATTTAATATATTAATTAATAACTTTATATTGTGTACACCTTTGACAGTGGAAACACCGGCCTTTTCGCCGCTTCTGCCGAGGTGGCATGGGCCAAGGTCTTTATGCATGTTCTTGCTCATGGCCATCACGAGGCTCTCGACTCATAGCATTGTGTTCTTGAAGTGTTTAGTTTTGGAGGCCAAGGGCCCGTCTTATGAATGAGGCACCCAACACGGCGGTCTGACACGATGTCAAATCCCCAATCAACTGACACAAATTGACGTGTGTTCACATGAACCTGTCCCAAATATATAAAGGTCCAGCATTTAGGTCGGTCCCTTTCGGCTTCACATTGTATTGAGCCGCTCAGAAATTCAGACTCGTACCCAAACGCATGCAACGGAAACTGCCCCTACTTAACGCTGCAGGGGCAGGGGACCATATTGCTGCCACCAATGACACTGGTAATCCAACTGACACTCAACTGTGGTCCCTGCTTGATGGACGTTTCCTGGCTGTGTGCCTTCGACGCCGCATGACTGGCGACTCTTGCTCCGACTCGATCGTCCAAATGGCCCAAAATACCCACCAAGAATATTGTGTGATATTGTGTGGATCTGTCTGGTAGGAAATCCATCAGGAAGAAACGGCCTGTGTGAAACGTTGAAAGCACTGAGGCTTGGACCTCCACCTCCTTCCCCATTGACTTGTACAAAATAAAGCGTACAAATCCACAGGGTGCCTGGCAATTTGGCACCGGTGTGATTTGAAACTGGTCTGGACCAGTCTCAACACTTCCGGCTACGATACTCTATGACACTCGACCTGTCTCAAAACTATCGCATGGCCGAGCCTCGACTGGCACAGAGAGGCTCAAGGAGGTGTTGGGCTTCACAGGGGCCTAAGTCGCCCGCGAAGTGCAGAAAATCTGCAAAGATCAGAGACTTGGGTAGTGCGGTAGTCCTGTTCATTCTTTCGTGTTCTTGAGCGGATGATTCATGTTGATAATCTGATGATCATGGTTACGGTTCACCAAGACTTGTGACAAATGGCAGGTAGGATCATTCAATCAGAGAGGTACTCGGGTGCTGCGGCAGATTTGTTGGACCATTCATTTGGAATGATATGACTCACGAGCAAAACTGCATCAACACCGTTGCCGTGAAGGCTTGTTAAAACATGTTGAAACTGGCAGTGGAATCTGGTGGAGACAGCGGAAGACAAGGTGGTTGCTAACAATTAGTAAAGCTGCCAACATTAATGACAAAAAAGTGCCCCGTGAAGGTGGCAAAATGCATCAAAAGATCAGAAAGGGGGATCAAACAAAAGCAGGAGCACCTTGCATATGTGTTCCAGAAAGTGGATGAGAAAGGGAATGTGGAAACAAAGGCCAGGCTGAAGCACCCAATTCTGGGCTGTGGGCTGAAGGCACTTTGTACTGTTGTCAAATCACATCAGGCCTCTTTCACCCAGCTCTGGGCTGCAAGACACCCAAGATTGTGAGCTGCAACTGCATGCTGCGGCGATATTGATCTGGTGGCGGGTCCTTAGGTATGCACCCTAGACCGGCGCACCGGTCAAGACTCGCACAAAGAATTTAAACACAATGAAACGCATGTTACCACATGTTCAGCAAAACGTGAGAAGGCTCAATGATGGTCAAATTTTGTGTCAAAAAGCTCTGTGAAATCTAACATCTAACAATTTCAACTCAAAGGCTGACACCAAATCTGCCAAGTCCAATTTCACCCCTGAAAGTAAGCGCAATGCATATCTGTGTAGGAGATGCCCCAAGTGCCTGGCACAAGAATTCTGCAGCACAATCACCAATGAGCTTTATAATCGCAAGAGCAATGTATATATTTGTCAAGCTGCCTGTGATCCAAGCGACAAGCATCCCTAACCTACCCATAAAGCTCAAGACCTTCAGAAAAATTCACTCCGGGCATCTGACGCATTGTTGCGAATGATCTCCGAGTCCTTGCCCTGCTGAGCAGCTGCCTTCAGCAAGTCCTGGATTTTTCGGCCAGTGGCCCCCCCGGAGCGGGGGAAGTCATTCGCTCCATCGTCCTGCTCCATCGCTCTGGCACCGGCAAAGCCACGCGCATAGCCATAGCCTTAAGAGGGATCGCGTTTGTCGAAAGGCTGGGGCACAAGCCCTACAAGTACCAAGTCAAAGGCCGGGGCACCAAGAATGCACAAGACAACTTACTTGTCCTTCTTAGTTGGAACAAGTGGGAGGATCTATTAGCTCGCCGAGGGCCAAACGCTCCAAGATGGGCTCCTCAACCTCCATAATCAAGGCATGCACCGACCTGCATCTTCATGAGAGTTGCGGCAGTGGTAGCGACCTGAAACGTTCCTCACAACGCTCTGCCTTATTGGAGCAACCGGGCCCGTAACAAAGCACCTGAAGAAACCTATTGACCTTAAATCAAAAAAAACTAAACACAATGTGTTGCAACACTTTGGCAAACACGGGTAAAACGGGTGAAGAAGAACTTTGCCTCTTGCCACCAGCGATGTTCGAAGGTTGCCGGCCTGGTTCCCACGGGACCAGCGATGTTCGTAAGTCTCCAAAGTTGTTTGGCCTATCTTTCGCTCAAGGTCGCCAGGAATCAGGATTTGGAGTGCAGCAATTCTCAAGCTCCAAATCCCGCAAGAACTATATAGCAAAAGGTCCCCGCCCAAAGAAAGCTGACCTCAATACAAATCCGAAAACGACATCTCTTCCAATCGCTGCAGCTGAGCATCCTTCTTTGAAGGCCTTGGTTGTCCGATCATGTCCGTCCGACTCCAAACGCACCGATCGGTGCGCCGAGGCGACGGACACGTGCCCTCATCATGGCCCGGTCTTTGAGCTCCTTCTGAAACTCCACTCCTCGCGGCACAAAATGGAGGCAACACAACCCATGTCATGGGTTGGATCGTTGAAATGTGATGCCTGAGAAGTGGATACAGCCGTGATGCCAGAAGCTCTGATGACCACAAACGCTTGATTCAAAGATGCCATTGCACAGGAAAAGGGATAAATGATAAAAAGGTATCCTTCGAATGCCCGCACCAGGGCACGCTGGCATTCCACCAGCTGCTGCGTGTGCCGGTCTCCCTACAGCCAGGAGAGAACGGCATTAGTCAAGAGCATCTTGGGAATATCATCACACGTGAAGCGATTCGGAACAACCAGCCGTGCTCAGCCTGCACCGCCCTGTCGACATGAAGTAACTCCGAACGCCTCTCAAAGCCAGAAGCGTGCAGGAGCTCGCAGCATGGGGGTTCTTATTGCATGGACCCATCAGTGCAATGTATCTCTCTCAACGACATGCAACACTTTTTTGAGCTCAATGGAAAGTGCGGGGGATGTTCTGGATTTGCAGAAAAGTGCTTCACTGTCAAAGTCTTGGATCCGACCTGTGGCCTTCATAATCTTCATCAAAGTACCTCAGCCGCGCGGCCTCCTCACGGCGTGGCAGTGTTCGGCCACTGGGTGACCGCACGAGTCGCCATAGCTGACGAAGACCTGTGACGTGAACTGTGTGTGTGTGTCCAAGGTTGACTTCTTGAATAGCCTGGTGTGGGATCAAAAGGGTACAGTCACATGTCACCAAGGGGTACGGTACAGCCATGTGCCATGTACATTCCAAAAATGTCTTGGATTCAGCCTCTTGGCCCTTGTACAAGTCCGTCACTGCGCGGAACTCTAAGACCTGGGTAGGCCCAGGGGCACCCGTGGAACGACGCTTTGTTCTGAATGCATGAACCAATAGGCATATGCAAAGTCACATGGATCATTGTGTCGAATAACTGTATTCTTGACTGTTCATGCATATTCAAAAATCTAGTGCACTAAAATGCAATAGAAATAAAATAACATGCAGGAGTGACATGAGGCACCTGCTAATCTGGACATGAACATCTCCAAACCCGCATCTTGACGCATGTTGCTTACTTTTTCTCTGCACATCACCATCCACAGCAACTCCCGCAGCTCTTGCTACAAGACCTGTCAACACATTGGCCCATTGCTCAGGGAAAACACACCAAATAAATTCGTTGCAATTACGATGGTTAGGCAGATCATAAGTCTTTTGGATGCGCCTCTCTGTCTCTCTCATCTGAGTCGGACTCATCAGCGCACAACCTCGGAAGCAAGCGCAGCATCACCCGATCGGGTGGCCACCATCGAGCGACAAGTTCTGTCCAAGTGCCAATTCCAAAAGGTCTTGGAGTCTTGGAGTCTTCGTTTCTATGATATCTAAATTTTGATTCAACCCCCATGGGCACTAGATTGGATTCCAATGGGCTCGGATTTAATTTAGGAGTTTTTATTGTTTTTGCTTGGGATCTTTTTGTTTTTCGTGTTTCGTGGCAGGCGCACTTTGTGGACCTTGAAGTGCAGATTTCGTGGCAGGTGCAGGACTTTGTGGATGTTGAAGTGCAGATTTCGTGGCAGGTGCCGGACTTTGTGGGCCTTGGAGAGCAGATTTCGTGGCAGGCACAGTACTTTGTGGACCTTGAAGTGCAGATTTCGTGGCAGGTGCTAGATAGCTAGATAGATAGGCAGATAGACATAGACAGATACATGGATCGATAGATACATAGATAGATAGATAGGAAAGAAAGAAAGAAAGAAAGAAAGACAGACAGACAGACAGAAAGACAAAAGAAAGAAAGAGATAGATAGACAGATCGGCAGACAGACAGACAGACAGACAGCCAGCCAGCCAGCCAGCCAGCCAGGCAGGCAGCCAGGCAGGCAGGCAGACAGATATAGACAGATAGATGGATAAGTAGACAGATTTGGGAGCTGTCGTAGCTGGCAAAATACATTGGAATAGTGTAGGTTTCAGAGAAATTGCTACCTATCACAACAGTTTGGTGCAGTTAGCAGAGAAACAGCAAAGAGTAAGAGAACTAGCACAGGAGGCATATTTGGTTGGTTAGAAATGTTTGCACCGGGGAGTTCACCTTAAAATGTTGATTTCGTGGCAGGTGCGGGTGTCGGAGATGAAGTGCAGATTTCGTGGCGCGGGGGGGGTTGGGGTGGCGGGGGGGGGGGGGGGCCCCCCCGCAGCAGCACACCAGATCCAAAGGTGAGCAGCTAGTGCTTGCTTGCTTGCTTGCTTGCTTGCTTGCTTGCTTGGTTTCTTCTCTGCAAAGCTCTGAAAGCCAAAAGCCACAAAAGCCACAGAAGCCACGAAGGCCAGAAGCCACGGAAGCCACGAAAGCCAAGAAAGCCAAAAGCCACAGAAGCCACGAAAGCCACCAAAGCCAAAAGCCACAGAAGCCAGAAGCCACGAGAAACAAAAAAAAACATTTAAAAAAAAACACAATAAAACAACCATAAATTAAATGGCCCTCCGATTCCAATGCTTTGTCCAGTCACAACATGCCAAAACCTATATTTCATAGGATTGATGGCATCACCGCCGGAATTTCTTGATTTGGAGAACTATAGGCTATAGCCTATAGCATACACATGGCATGCGAATGCTGTCCGACATGCTCGGTGTCGAACAAGTTGAGTGTCCATCGCGAAGGCTGTGAGGCCTCAGCTGACGGTCGAAACGTGCATCCTGCAAAAAACATGTACTATAGGGAGTCACAACCTGATGGCATTCCAAACATATCTTCAATCCTCACAGCTGCCATGATCGAAACCAAACATCCGCTGGGTGACACATCGCCTTGACTCCTTGACCGGCTCCAAACCTTGCAAGCGTCAGACCGAGAAGGATAAGTTTACGCCAACACAAGTTGTGGACAGGTGCCGAACTGCCGGCACGAGCAAAAATAAGGCGCCATAGTATGCGAGTGTGCCAAAAGAAAAGAAACACAAAACGACTGCCATCAAAGATACTTTAAGATCATGCCGCATGCCAGTTCATTCCGACAGAAAGAAGCGTAGCTGCTCGGCGTTTGCCGGAGCATGGGATTGTGAGCACCAAACATCGGCGTTTGCCGGGCTTGGGCAGCTCAGTGAAAAGTCGTGCCGCTCAGTCGGTTTTGAAAGCCACAGCCTTGCCACGGGTAGCACGGGGCTCAGGGGGGAATTCCTCATCCTGAGCAAGTCTCACTGCGCAGTTGATGATGTATTTCTCACCCTCTGCTGGTGGTGGAGCATCATAGTCCTGCAGGAAGTGTGCACCATAACGAGTGCGCTCGGGTTCCCCCACCACTTCCAGCCAAAAGCCGGTCGGTCCGCGCCAAATGCTCTTCACATCACCAACGGACGCCTCGGGGAAAGCACTCTTCAGCTTGGGGTCGGTTGCAATGGCCTCCTGATGGGATGGATCCACAAACTCTTGCGCATAGTCGGCAGGCTTTAAATCTGGAAGCTCTACTGCACCACCCTTGGAGACTGGAAGATTGTTTGGATCAGGTGGGAAGGCAACATCACCAACATCTTCGATGAGATTGTCGGAAGTCCATCCACAGCTCATCAGCATATGAACTAAAGCGATCTTGCCCTCATACTCGACTTTCAGCCAGTAGTTCATCCGAGGCTCCACGGGATGTTTGGCGACCTGCAACACTTTGCCTTGCTTGACGTCGTCATGACCTGTCAATGCTCCTCCACATGACTGTAATCCCTTGACAACAAAGTCTTCTGGTGAATCCAGCAGCTTGTAGAGTGGCTCTGCATCCTCTCCATCCCCCTCACCGCCCTCACCCTCTGGCATGCTCTTCGAAACGGGGGGGAATGCAGCTTCGCCGACATCCAGCATGGCATTGTTGTAGGTCCACCCGCAGCTCATCATCGTATGCACAAATGCAATCTTACCCTCACCATACTGCACCTTCAGCCAATATTGCATCATCGTCTCCTCTGGATGCTTGGCAACCTGTAAGACCTTGCCATCACACACATCTGGATAGTCTTCACGAAGCCTCTCATTCACGGCCAGGCCTTCAACTACGAAGTCCTCTGGTGGATCCATGATCTTGTAAGGCTGATCATCTCCAGGAGGAGGAGGTGCCATGCCCCCAGCAGGAGCATCCTCCGTGGATGCAGGCAAATTCTTTGGATCTGGAGGGAATTTAGCGTCACCAACACCACGGATGACCTTGTCGGAGTTCCAGCCACAGCTCATCAAAGTGTGGACGAATGCAATTTGCCCGGAGCCATATTCAACCTTCAGCCAGTACTGCATCATCGACTCCTCAGGATGCTTTGCGACTTGTAGCACTTTCCCGTCGCGAACATCTGGATGATCGGAGACTACTCCACCAGCAACCTTCAAACCATCAACCACAAAGGATTCCGGGGGATCCATGGGCTTGTACAGGCCTTCTTCAGCAGGTGCTGCAGGCGCAGCCGGTGCAGCAGGTGCAGGGTCAACCTTTTGTGCTGGAGCTGCCTCAGGAGCTTTTTCAGCACCTTTTGCTGCGGCCTCAGCACTTTTCTTGGACCCTCCAGACCCCATGATGCACTAAAGCTCGTGGTGAGTCAGCTTGACGTGGACACGCGGCGCTTGAGCTTTCAAAACACATCGGAGAATCTGAGTTTCCTGAGATTTCTTCATTGCAGGTTTGCGAGAGAATCCAAGCAATCTTAGCAACAAAGCTGGTGCCACAACTCATGACCACAAAATCTAAAAAGGCACCTTGTCAAACGCAAACGCCGGGTCTCTATATCATGGAGATGGGTGGAAGCAGCCTGCAAGAATGTCAGCTACTGAGTACTGCACTCATTCTTACCCGACAGCTAGAAACCCATACTGTGCTCAAGACTCAATAAGCAATCGTCAAGGTTCATCGAACACTCCATCTCCTGCACTTAGGGTTGCACGCGTGAGTTGCATATGATCCTGACTATGACGCCTGTAATTCTTACGGACAACATGCAAAGGCTTTTCCTTTTCAAAGCTAATGAATCACACATGCCGACAAACTCCCTCTGATTGATCACTCATTCTTCTGAGGGCCCCCATGTTGCATCTACCTAAAAACACAAAAATAGAAAACACGTCAAACCACGACAACACTTTTCGGCGATTGCACCCGGACTGCGACCAGGAGGTGCAGGAACCCCAAAGCTTCCAGGATGATCTGCGGGAGATCTCGGACTCCGCGGCCCAGCGCAGGCAGGCCCAGCAGGCCCAGCGTATAGCGTCCAGCAGGCCCAAAGGCCGATGGGGTTTATTGAGACTTGCGGCGCCGTAGGTAGCAGCCACAGCCAATGAAGAAGCCTCAGAGTCTCTCGTGGCACCAAAGTTTCAGACTGAGGTAAACTGAGCAAAATGATGGAGGGCTTCCATGTCAGCATTTCATTTCAAGGAATTCCACGTCACTTCTTGGATTACAGCCACGGGCAAGGCACCGTGAAAATCCATATGCAACGAAGAACTGCGGTTTCAACCAGTCGCATTCATTAGAATTCACGTCTGAGACAAAATTTGAATGACGTTGCACCAGGATTGCCTTCCCCTGCATCCCGCCGCACTCAACATGGAAGGCCAGGAGACAAAGTAGAAGGCTGCCTCCACCAGCAGCCACCGGTATCACCCAAGGGGGAAGTTCGTCAGAGCCTCCTTGGGCACCACAAGACCTCATGCGTTGGTCATGAGGCATGAGGCAAACTCGACGCTGGATGTGTTCAACTGGTAGTTATCTTCTGATCTTCTACTGCCTGACATGTTCTGCGCAGTCTGAATGTACCACCCAGTATGGCGACATGCGATTTGACATGGTGGGACCAATGTCCACCTCTCATAGTTGTGGTTTTGCCAAACATGTTCGGGTGCATCTTGCGTCAATTCATGTCAATTCGTGGAAATCACAAAAGTGGGTTGGTGGGTGGAAGCTCTCCAATCATACCTGAAGTCTGAAGGGTGTACAACACTTTCCCAGTGCTTCTTTGCGGCGCTGGATTGTCAGCACCACAAAGGCAACATGAGGCCTGCACAAATGAAAGCAAGCTGACGGCTCCAGCAGCAGTGGACATTGACTACACAAAGTATAAAAATAATGAGGAGGCGTTGAGACTTCAACGTCGTAGACCATACGTGCATGCATCCTATACTTCAATTGGGACCAAGCCTGGCCTCTGTGGGATTGTGCGACAAGCAAGTTCTTGACCAATACGCACTACAGTGTGCATGTGGCTAACTAAGTTGAGTACCGAACGGGTATTGAACCAATGTTGAATGAGGTACTGGACCGACTATTGCAGCCAGCAGTGGAAGGTTTCCCAACAATAGGCTGAGGATCTGCTCAACAGATAAGGTCCAAATGTCTTAGAAAGGTAGATTTACACTCACATTTATTTTGTCCCCTCTGAATGTGTGGGCTTGGGTGGGGAAGCAAGGGATGCACAGTGAGGAGCAGTGATATTTGGAATGTAGAGAATTAACTACAAATCTCATGTGTACAACCTACTATACCCCCACCATTTAGACAAAGCGTTGAACAAACGATGCAATGTACTGCATGTAGAAATCATATGTGTGTGTGCCAATCTGTTAAATTCGCTGGATGGGGATGGAGTGAGGACGATGGGAACCTAAGGGCAAATAGCTTTGAATTTGAGCGGGTAGATTGGGTTCGACACTGCTTGAGCAATGTACCAATGAGTATGTATGATCTGTCTGTGAACCGATGTAACCGGAGAACATTCTTGAGTCCATCAAACCCAGGCCACTCCAGGAGGGCAGCATCTGCCAGCAAGATTTGGAGCATGAGCTGGTTGAGAAGATTTTGCCGTCAATTTTCTGTTCCCCCTACCAAACCAGCAATGTTTGCCTGGAAAATATGGATAATAACAATTGTATAAGCTTTCTCCATCTGTTCGCTTTGTGTGGGGAATCCAACCCAGAAAAAGTTTAAAGCATGTCAAAGGTAATCCACCAACTCGTCAACTCGTTAGGTATTTCTTGCATATCATTGGTTCCGAGCAGGTTTTGGAGCTTAGCTACTATACATCAGGTGGATCTTGGGATGCCGGATCCACAAATCTGTTGGAGCTCCCAGCCTTGCAGGCCAGCTCCATGGTGATTCCCTCACCTCGGAGACGGAGACTTCAAGGCTGGAAGGTTTTTACACATAGTAAAGGAATACATTTGGTAGTACCAGTACATTTAGGTCCGTACATATTCATATACTCAGGCCGACCCAGTGCCCTTTGATAGGGCGTTGTCAAGCTTTGAGCGGTTGGATTCTTTGAGAGCGCGAACCTGGCGACCGGCGACGTGAAGTTTCTTGAGCCGATAAGGGAGAGGACGCTACTAGGGGCTCCTGGCATCGCTACTAGGAGCAAGGACGCGACTAGGGGCTCCTGGCATCTCCTGGCCGACCTACTAGGAACAAAAAGCTATATACTAGCAACAAGGGCATTACTACTAGTAGCAAGAAGCTACTAGGGGGGGGCTCCCCAAGCAACTTCAGGCACAAAGTTCCTACGACGATTGCTCCATCATAGTACCAGTCACTGGTCAGACCCAGGGACAGGGCCCGCTATACAAACTTGTCGTCAGTGAGAAAGGCCCAGGTGACATGGCACCGGGGGACCAGTGGGCCACAAGAAAAGAATAGACTACTGACTACTGGACATGGTCAACCTATGCCACAGCCATCCATGCCACGTGTGTCTACGAACCAAGGGGCAATCGCTGTCATCGGTCTCGTTGCACCGCTCCTCCAGTTGATACCGCGAACAGTTCCAAGCGGATGCCTCGGGGAGCGCGAGGCGTCTTCCATGCCCTTTGCCTACCAGGTGAATCGCTGCCACGGCACGTTGCAGCGGTTCCACTCAGGAAAGTCAGAGCAGCCGCGAGCAGCACCCAATGCTGCAATATCCCTGCCAACGCCCATCTCAACCCAGTCCTCGCAATGATGCTTGTTTATGAATCTATTGAATTCATTTCATCTCATTTCTATGTGCCCCGCGGAACTGTTACAGTGCCAAGAAAGCCTCCCGGGTTATATAAATGGTCATGTTACATGCGTTGATAAAATCAATATGCCGTATGAAGTGAAACATATGGCAACACGTGATGCGCGCGCGTGTCGATTTCATGTCTGCACTTGCTTCCAAGAATCATCAATAGGCACGTTCTTCCAGCCGTAGACACGTTGGAAACCAAAGCCATTCTGCAGTCGAGCTCGAGCTCGCTCTCGCTCTCTCACGGGGAATTCGGTAAAATTGGGGGGCAGGGACTTCGTGGTGTTCTGGCACCCGCTGGGTGGAAGCTTTTCTGCTTGCGTGAACATGTCTTATTCTCTCATCTCTTTCTATCTCTGTATCTTTCTCATCATACCGTTTCACCAGGCAACTTGATGTGTTTTTTTCATAGTTGTTCATGACCGATCGTTGTGATCTTTAAATTTATGCAACCAAGCAGCCCACTCCAGCAGTTCAATCTCCCTTGTGGCGTATAAAGCTTGGCCCCTTGCCTGCTGATCACCTCGCTGGAGCAGCCTTGGCTTTGTGCCGAGTGACGTCATCCCGGTTGAAGAGCGATGGCCTCCAACCTACTAGCAATGGCTTCCAACCTAATAGCGATAGCCTCCACCTATATAATAGCGTCCACCTAATGCACGCATATGTTTGAAAGTTGTAACCTCCCATGCTGCTGGCAAGAAGCTGCATGCACAGGACTGTATCATTCACGGGCCTTGAGCTAGCACAAATGCACCAGAATCATGATTGAGGCTGTCCGAATAACTTTCCTGTTATTTTATTTCCAGCCTGGGCCTGAACGCAAATGTTTCTTGCATCTGACGACTTCTTCAATGCATCACAATATATCACAATGCTATGAACATCTACTGTTGTTGGTTGGTTTACTGTCTGTGTACAAATGTACATACAGCTGTATGCTTACTTGCCATATAAAAGACACATTTTGCTATTTATTGCGGTTTGGCAGGACCACAGAAGACCACCAAGAAACGCCTGCAGCAGTACCAAACAAGGGTGAGCAGCACCAAATAAATTGAGGAGGGTGTGATCTCATGATCTTGTCTCTCTCAACCAAGGCGCAGAAGCACCCCAACCTTGGCATCGGAAACTGTGAAAGCTCAAGAGGTCACGAAATGTGTCGTAACAGCGCCCTGGAACTCCCCGATTCACGATCAACTGGCTCTGTTTCCTGGCACATAGCATGGCTGAATGCCAAAACCAGCACTTATCGTGTTCTGCGGGGCAGTCTTTGTTCCCGCTCCAGCCTTTGTGCAGTGATGTCTCAATTTCAATGACCTAGCTGCTGTTTTTATCAGACCCAGTCACAAGTCACTGTGACAGCATCCAAGTGACCCAAGCTTCATCCTGTTGACAACCAGAACAGCCCACGATCTGCGGCCCGCCATGCATATTGCAGCCTGCATGCCAAATCCATGTGTGAATATAGCGTGAAAGGCTGCAAACTGCACCCAAAGTTGGCCTCACCTGCCCAAAGGAAGCAGAATCACACCCAACAGGGGGAATGCTGTGAGAACTGAAAGGCTGCGTTGATTGCAACTAGGATGCAATTTGCAAACCAGTAGGTGTCCAAATTTCCATCCACCGCCAGCTCCGCTTCATCTGAATTACCTCAAAGGTGGTCTTGCATGCCGATGTTCCAATCAACTCGGCATGATGCCCGGGCGGAGCTCATGAGGTGGCCCATGGAGGTGAAAATCAAAAGGAGGCCCACTTCGAAGCAAAGTCTGTAATGCCCTTGTTACTAGTAGTTTCTAGCTACTAATAGTAGTAATGCCTGTGCTACTAGTAGACCCGAAAGGTGATTACGGTTGGCTGAGATTGCAGATGTTGTAGTCTGCGTTGAAAGAGGGGGATCTTCCAAAATCTGGCGGAGGGACAAAAACCAAACCACCAAAAAGATCGGGGTCGGCTGAGGTCCCTACATATTCAGACAAGTGCATGTCTATATGTGCGACGATAAATACTCATTGTGTGTGGTAAGGTCGTGGCATCGCTTTCTGACACGGTGCGGAGTTTGTTTTAGTAATTTGTGATATATGTGTCGAATCCTTTATGGGAGATCCCTGGGTTATTGGCTTTCTTCTCCTGGAAGCTGCAAGCCTGCTGTTGTCTTTACTAAGAAATGACGCCAGCATAGACCCCAGAGAGCAAAAAACACGAGCAGGCAGCGCCAAAGCAGCGACACCAGCACCCAAGCTCCAACGCGCACACGCACACATCTCGCAGCTTGCAGCAGCACCAGCACCCAAGCTCCAAAGCGCACATAGCCACACATCTGGCAGCGGCACCCTGTAGCAGCAGCAGGTCACCAGCACTCAGGCTCCGAAGTGCACAAGCACCTCTTCCTATACTTGAAGTAAGAACCCCAGTAGCTCCCGCTATCTGGGGAAAAGTTGTGTTGGGCGACCCTGGATATGGGGTGTTCCCTATATTTATTGATGATTTCTGGTATTGATTGGGGTATCGAAAAGCATTGTTTGGGGTAGCGTTTTTGCATGTCGAACTTGCTAGCGGACAATACATACCTGTGAATAAAACCCATCATCCCACGCACGACAAATGAACTTGTCTGGTATCGTTTTTCAGCGTTCACATCGTTTGACAAAAAAAGCAGCACACTCTTAGACATTCCAAGGCGACTTATGTAAAAAACTCTTCATCGCGTGTTTTGCCCCTTGAACATATAGTACAATGACTACAGTTGACAAGCATCCAGCACACGAATAAAGTATGTTTTGGTTGTTCGAACAGTTCGGCACAAGACCCGACACTGTCTCATGCCGTCTTATCCAAAACAGGTCCTAAAGAACGTCAAAAAGCAACGGTCTCTTTCAAGCTGAAGGGCCATCCACGGCAAAAGCTGCACCACGCACGCGGCTCGTACAGGCCTCCGTGCACTGTGGCTGGCTTGAACAACCACTAGGAGTCACTAGGAGCGACTGGTGACGCATGAGTATCTGACCCTTGCGGTGAGTAATGATTTCTACAAGAAGCAAGGACGCAACTAGTAGCTCCTGGCATCGCTACTGGTAACAAGGGCATTACTACTACAGTAGATGGACCAAATATTCAAACCCATGTATCAATAACTGTCGCCAACCCCTGACCCCCAAAGGTCAATGTTGAACATAACTTGATTGAATTTGCGTTTCCAGGGTTTGATTTGCTTCGTCCATTCGCCGAAACATTCTTGCAAGGCCTCTAACATTGAGCTTTGGGGTAGGAGGGGTCCTCGTGGTTGAAAGGGTTTGAATATTTCGTCCATCTACGGTACTGGGTGTGAACGGCGACCGGAGACCTACAGACGCACATGCGTGTGTTGTTTTCAAGTGATGCCGGGCAGTTCCAGCTACTGTTGCCATGTGCCGTGTCTGTTCCCAGTCCCTTTCCAGTGCCTTTCCAGTGCCTTTTGCACTTTCTCGTGGCCCTGCCAGCAAAAATGTGTTTCTGGTAAGTTTCGTTGAAACAAAAAGATAAGCTATCTCTTTTTAGCAAAAAAGTGAGTCACATGGCAAAATCACTGGCAGGCGCGCACAAACCGTGAAAAGGCACTGGAAAAGGCACTGGAAAGGCACTGGGAACAGACACGGCGCATGGCAACAGTAAGAACAGTAGCTGGAGCTGCTCTTCATCTGGCTTGCTTTCCTGACGTCTGCTGTCCTCGCTCGCAACGCGTCGATGTGAAAGAGTTGTTGAGCACAGAAGATTAAAACACAGAGTACTACGGATGAAGATGTTAGACTTGATACTTACGAGCCAATAATACGCAAACGTCACACCTTTAGACGGTACTGGGTGTGGACGGCGACCGAAGACCTACAGACGCACATGCGTGTGTTGTTTTCAAGTGATGCCGGGCAGTTCCAGCTACTGTTGCCATGTGCCGTGTCTGTTCCCAGTCCCTTTCCAGTGCCTTTCCAGTGCCTTTTCCAGTGCCTTTTGCACTTTCTCGTGGCCCTGCCAGCAAAAATGTGTTTCTGGTAAGTTTTGTTGAAACAAAAAGATAAGCTATCTCTTTTTAGCACAAAAGTGAGTCACATGGCAAAGTCACTGGCAGGCGCACACAAACCGTGAAAAGGCACTGGAAAAGGCACTTGGAACAGACACGGCGCATGGCAACAGTAAGAACAGTAGCTGGAGCTGCTCTTCATCTGGCTTGCTTTCCTGACGTCTGCTGTCCTCGCTCGCAACGTGTCGATGTGAAAGAGTTGTTGAGCACAGAAGATTAAAACACAGAGTACTACGGATGAAGATGTTAGACTTGATACTTACGAGCCAATAATATGCAAACGTCACACCTTTAGACAGTAGATGGACCAAATATTCAAACCCATGTATCAATAACTGTCGCCAACCCCTGACCCCCAAAGGTCAATGTTGAACATAACTTGATTGAATTTGCGTTTCCAGGGTTTGATTTGTTTCGTCCATTCGCCGAAACATTCTTGCAAGACCTCTAACATTGAGCTTTGGGGTAGGAGGGGTCCTCGTGGTTGAAAG